GGGGAAAAGTGATGAGGCGGGGAGAGAGAATGAAGAAGATGGGGGCAGGACAGGGAAATGGGGGGAAGAGGGGGAATATATGGTGAGGGAGAAAGACAGAGGAGCCAGCGAGGAAGAAAGGTTCAGGGAGGAGGGTGGGGAGAGGGAGGAAAAAAAACAAAGCAAAGTCAAGTTTAAAAAAACAAAACAAAAAAAAAAGAACCGAGAAATCGTAATACTGCCCTAGGAAATAAAAAACAAAGAAGAAAAGTTGAAAAACCTAGAAATCAAACCTAAGAAATAAAAATAAAGAAAAAAACCCAAGAAGTCAAAACCCAACCCCTAAATTAAAACAAAAAGCAAGAAATCAAAACAACCCCCCAAGAATTAAAACATATGCAAAAAAAATCCAAAAAACCCAAGAAAAAAACACCCCAAGAGCAACCCGAAGAGATCAAAAGGATCCAAGAAATTAAAATATCTTAAGAAATTTAAAAAAAAATAAAATTTAAAATAACCCACAAGAAAATAAAGAAAACAAAGAAGGAAAGAAATGAAAAAAACGCTACAAAAAATCAAAACGACTCCGTCGCAAATGGGCGATTTAGATCTCTTAAAGAACCACTGTCAAAGGTATTAGCAAAAGTGGTTTTATTGAAATACGATGTTGTAAAAGTGCGACTTAACACAGTTTGTTGGCAAAGTTCACGCTATTACTGTACTGCATAATCATTTGAACAATGATTCAAAGGTACCAAGGCAGAGTCGGTTACCAAGACAAAATCAAAGTTACCAAGACGCAAATCATAGTTACCATAATACAAAGTTACGCGTGACGTCAGTCGCTTACCAAAGATCTGCCGTCAGTGAAAGGTCTCTCTGCCTTGAGGAGCAACCTTAATTAAGAGGTGTCCCAGCTCAGGGGGAGATCCAGGCTGCTTCGCAGGGAGAGCTAAAGGCGGCTCACGTAGGCTGTCGTATTTATGGAATAAAGCGGCTGGCTCGTAGTCAAATTACATGCGGTGGAAAAGGTACGCATGAAACTCCTCGAACCCAGAACTTTCTCTGCTCCTTGATAAATGAGCCTTGGAAAAGCCACCCGATTCACGTGTTAATCGCATGATCGGTGTTCCAAGCTCATACGCATCGATGCTCGCTGTGTCACTCTGCTTCTTTGTGGGTTTTCAGAGAACAGACTGGAACTAGAGAAGTCCTTGGCCCATTTACAGCTCAGGCCTTTGCCTCCTTTGGAGCCTGTACCGAACTACGGCAAGTTTGGTTAAGGAGTCCAGTGCATCCCTCACAGCCCCCCAGGAAATAAAAAGACCCCCACAAAACACTCCCAGGG